CAGAATTTATTACTGTTGATCTACTGAACCACGAAATAGAACAGTTTGCATTGTTCAATATCATCTTTTTTGCCATTTGCCACGTATTTAGGTATTTGTTATTTTTGATTGAGCCATTCTCTGTTTTTTTTTTCGAGATCCAGACAACGACGCCACTGACGAGGCTCAAGACTGTCACGTACAAGTCTCGATTTTAAGTGTAATCGTTCGAATACGTGACACTCATTATTACCAATGCAGTTCGTTCAACATGATCTTATCTCAACCAATTCTACAAGTATGCATTTCCAAACAATGAAACAATGGAAAAACACAATTCAAATATGCGATATTATTCATTTTCATTCTGCATAATAGCCCATTCGAGTCCATCAAGATTCTTTATGAGCAATCAATCAGATAGCGCTAATAGCTTTCGGACAAATAAAATGAAAATTTCCATAAAAAAAGCTTTTATCTGTTCTACAAAATAATGATCCAGCTATTATAGTCTGCGTTGTAACATTTTGAAAGATATAGTTCTAAAAAAAACTAAATAAATATCATTATTTTTTATACTTCCAAAACGAACCTATTCTCTTGTTTCCTGATAGTTGAAAGTAATAAATGCTAATTATAAATGCTAAATACTAACAGAGTGATCTAAAAATATTTTTTGATTTGCCACAGCTGGTATAGGCGGGTTTATATACTTTACCAGGTTTACTTTATTTTTGTATCGCACAATGGTCGCAAACATAAGATTTTATGAGTCTTCGGGTCGTTTTATATCTGCAGTGGCGTGCGTTTGAGTACTTAATCAAGAATATTGTTACAAGACTTCAATTCAAATCTAATATATAAAAATGGACGTCTGTTGGTTGGTTGGTAACTGATAAACTTTTACATCGCTCAACCAATCGTGATGAAACTTGATACGTATACGTAATTTTTCATAGAGAAGGTTTTTAGGCTATCAATTTTTCTTTAACTCACCACTAGATGGCGATGTAGAACAATTTTTTGAAAGCACTGTTCTATAACGCTGCGCTCACCTAAGTTCATTGATTCTGATTCTGTCAAAACATTGGAACAGCAGCGATACAGCAACATAGTACTAGTTACTTATAAAGAAATAGCTATGTATGCTTAACTACGAAAATATTAGATATGAGGAAAGCTTGTGATGTGTTGTCATCAGATAAATCCGATGAATCTTTGACGGCTGTTATTAATATGAATAAAGGTTCTTCAATACATGTTCGCCATGTTTCGGAAGAACTTGAGAGCATATTGACATCTTTTATTTCAAATGTGGTGCTTCTTCTTGCCAAGAAACTCTTTACTTGAGCCCAAACGAGTTCAATGGGGTCAAGTTCATAATGATGAAGGGGCAGAAGCAGAATAATATTTCGTTTCTGTACCATCTTGTCGACTACAACAACAGGCACAGTTTTTCTTCTCAGAGACAGTTTTGATGATTTCAAAGATTCATGTATTTCTCTCATTCTTGAATTTATATATCGTTGATTTTAAAACTCCAGTTATTTGCAAACACATTTTTTCCAGAGTATCAACGATATGCGAAGAATTTTGGTATATGACAGCGTCATGTACATTTAGAATGATAATTTTTTCTTTACCATAAAAAAATACATTTGCTTATTCGTTTTACTGAAGACAATATTGAAGTAGTTATTTGAGATTTGTTATACCAAAGAATACAACGTTGAATGTTCAAACTTTTCAGACTCAGCAACTTGAAAATGATTCATCACTTCGCTGCTTAAGGAAATGAAGTATACATTCAAAAAATAGTGTGTGTATACTTAAGAACGTACGTAAGGAATTAACCTTTTTATTTTAAAATATTTCTCGCTGACGATAAATTTTATTATTAAAAATTTTAAGATTACTTCAGGAAAGAAACAT